GGCGGCTGATCCGGCCCCTCCGCACACGGGGGCCGCTCGCGACCTGCCCAGTGACTTTGGGACCAGCCAAGATCCCACAGCCGGGGGGCCGGCTTTCCAGCGGGGCGATCCGGCGGCTGATCCGGCCCCTCCGCACACGGGGGCCGCTCGCGACCTGCCCAGTGACTTTGGGACCAGCCAAGATCCCACAGCCGGGGGGCCGGCTTTCCAGCGGGGCGATCCCGCGTGCAGGTGTGCTGGCGGGGGACGCGTCAGAGGTCTGGGTCCGGGACGGCAGCTTTCCTGCGGCGCTCCCCGGGAGACCTGCCCCCCTGGCCTGGTGTGCTACCCGCTGAGGGCATGGGGCTTGAAGCCCGCTTCGTGGACATGGCTTGCCCCTTCCGCCCGCTCCTGCCGCCATATGGCTGAGGGCAGGTGAAACCTGGGGGCCCCCGAGCCTCCGGGCTGATGCCTGCCAGGGGCTCTGGAAATATCGGAAGCCCTTGGTGCGGGTGGAGGATGTTTGCCCGTTGTAGGGCCACTTGTGGTGTTGGACTGACTCGTGTATTTGGTTTTGATTTGGCTGGGAACACGAAACATTTCTTTCTTTCTTTTTTTTTTTTAAAGGGCTGTGGGCTGCCAGCCACAGGGTGCACCTTGCCCAGCTGGGCCTGTGACTCTTAGACCCAGGGTCCCCCAGCTGCAGACAGTGTGTCCCTGCAGTATGTCTCCTGGTGCCTGGACCCAGCTGGGTCCCAGCTGCCAGTGCTGGGTGTGCGTGAAACCCCTGGGGTAGGGAGATTGCCGCAGATGTCCCCCTGAGTCGCGGTGGGGTTCACGCACCCTTGAGACTGGGAGATCGCGGCAGCTGTGTCTCCCAGTCCTGGAGGTGCACGGGGTGCCGTTGCGGCTGGGAGCCTTTCAGCCAAGGGGCTCCCAGCAGCAAGAGCTTGCTTCTTGCTGATGCAGGGGGAGCCTGGGATTGGGCTCCCCCTGCACTGGCAATAAGGCACGATGGGATCTAATACAGCGTGCCTCCTGCCATGCATCTGTGGCATGGCAGGAGGCGCAATTCACACAGTCACACTTCCTTCCGTGCCACACATGCATGCCAGGAGGCACAATTGAGGGATTGTACATTAGATCCCATTGCTGGGGCCAGGGCCATACATTAGATCCCATTGCACCTTTACTTGCACATGTGGAGGGGAGTTTATCATCACACAATTCACTGGTTAATCTGGCAATAAATTTAGACTGGCCACTTGCAAAGTAATTAGCACAGGATAAAAAGAGCCACCCAGCTGTAAAAATCAGTGCTTGACAATGTGAAACAACTCTAGGGCTGGTTTCTATCTTGCTTTCATTCAAATGTGCAAGCAAGGCCCAGAGATGAGAAAACAAGACAGGAGCCTGAGTGCATGCAGGGCCTGATTCTCTTCACTAAGTGTCCAGTCCTCTGGCAACAGGCGAGACTTGGGCAGAAAAAAAACAAACAGGAGGGCATTGCAAACAGGCAAGCACTAGGAAACCTGTCTTACTGGAGCAGCCTGCAGGGTTTACAGATTTACAGAAGTTTAGGGCTGGAAGGGACCTCATGAGATCATCGGGTCCAGCCCCACTGCTCTGGGCAGGAAGCGCTGCTGGGGTCAGATATGACCCCAGCAAGGTGTGCATCCAGTTTCCTTTTGAAGATCTCCAGGGTAGGCGCCTGCACCACCCCCAACTGGGTTAAGCACCTTCCTTTCCAGTTACAGAAGACACCTAAGTATTCACTTAGCCTGTGTGAAACTGTACATGACTGTGTGGTTGAAGACTTAAGGATGCGCCTACATTCACAAGGCAGCAGCCTGAAGGTTGTTCCTTCAGCTTCAGCACTAACTGATCACTTGGCTGCTGTGAGAGCATCAGTGTTAATGTTACCAACAGGTAGCTTTTGGCATTGGATTTCCTATGTTTTTCATAGGAATCCATAGGAAATTTAATCAAGGATCAGACCTGGAATCTCCAGGGCTTTTTAGCTAAGGTGATTGGAAAAAGATTTCACCTAGTGACTGTGGCTAGATTCCACTGAAGCCCTGTCAAAGAATTCACTTGCCTCTAATGAAAGCTGCCAAGAGATCTCAGTCCCCCTGGAATGAGGCCTCCTGAGAACTGAGAGAAATGGGCTCCCTAATCTGCATTAAAACCTAGAGCTTTGGCTTTGACATGTGATTAGGCACCTTCACATTACTTGATGCTATCTGAGCACGCGGCAATCCTGTCTTGATTAAACAGTGGTCACAGTACTAACTTGTAACTGGTATCCTAAACCCTTTTAAACTTTATTTAATAGTGTCATATTCCCCAGGTTTGACACAGTAACTTGTCACTGCTGGTATTGTTTAACCAAACCCATTTAATATAGGTAGTGTTAAATGTGGTATGCTTCTTCATTATGTATCATGTGTTAACCTGTATAATTCCTCACAAAATGCTGCCATTTTGCTTGTCTGAATAATTTCAGTGATCTCAGGGGTGCCAAACTCATCCTGGTCCCAGGTCAGATCTGGACTGTGGGGCTCCTTGCAGGCCACATCTCGGAGGGTAAGGAGGTGAGTGCTGGTTGTAGGAAACAGCTGTTGCTTGCACCCCTTGCTGATGTGAGCCCAATAGGGCTCCGTGTCCCAGACTGGCAGCAGGTCCATGAATTCCTGGGATGCTGTTTGTTCAGGGAGTGCTGAACAGCTGATGTCTTCTACAGAGCACACCCACTGGGACAGGGTGACTTCCTGCAGGGCACAACCCGGTGGCACAATATTCCTTCCCCTTCTCTGGATCTCCAGTGCCACTGATCCAGCGGTTAAAATGTCATGAGAATTTAACCAAATTCACAAATAAATAATTTTTTAAAAAAGTATTTATTTCCCCCTCTACCATTTCTTCCCTTCTCTTACTAAACCTAACAGTGTAATCGTTATAAGGGGGAGCCCCCATTCCCAGTCCAGGCGTGCAATTGGTTCAAGTTACAAATTCAACCGTAGATGTAGGTGCCTGATAGATGGGGGTGGAAGGCTTGGGATTCCCTAAAGCCACTGAATGAGGCCTCTGAAAGGACAGAGTTTCTCTTTGTTTTCTTTGTAATTGCATTGTGGAACTCATTGCCATCAGATGTTGTAGAAGCTGTCAGTTTAGCCAGATTCAAGAAAGGGGTGGGACAAATTCTTGGAGGAAAGATGCATCAGTAGCTATTGAGCACAGAAGTTAGGGGCACAGCCTCTGAATCAACTGCCTAGACCTTAAATGCTGGAGACTGCAAGTGAGAGAAGTGGCAAAAAACCCTGGTCATCCCCAGTTCACTCTCCCTTTCACCATCTACTCTTGGCCACTGTCTGACACAATACTGGGCAAGATGGACCTATGGTTTACCCAGTAAATGGCAGATCTTATGTAGAGGGCTTATAGGAATCTGTGCAGTGAGGAATGAACAGGGGGCTGGTTATACTGACACTGTAACTCTCATCCAGTCCCTTTATTAGACACTGGCCACTTTCCAGGCTCAGGCTCAGGAAACAAGCAGTTTTACAAATGGAAGATGCTAAGAGCCCTATTTCCTGCTGCCTATGCATCAGTGCAGGGATTGTCATTTTATGCATTTCATTCAGGGATGCCTCATTCAAACAGGGCCCAGTTCTGACCAGGGGCCTGCAGGCAGTCCCACAATACAAATACTAACAATACTTCCATTCCCTGGCTGTGAAGGGTGACCACAGCTGCGACACCATCTCAGCTCATTCCCTCAAACCTCAGTGAACTGACACACACACGACACCTTGCATAGCGGTAATGATCTATTGTGTTTATGCTGGACACTTGCCCTCCTCTCAGAGGTAGACAGGCAGGCTTATTTGCTTCTCAGCCCAGACACACAGCTGGGTGGTGAAGGGCTTCATTCACTTTCACGAGGCAAGAGGAGCAGGAGAAACCAAATAGGGAGGAAGCTGACTGAGTATGGGTAGATATTCCTTACACCGTGGGGCACCTCCAGGGGCATGGAGGTGTAGGTGGATCTAGAAGGGTGAGGCAGTGTGAAGAGCAGAAGCAACAGAGCAGGTGGTAGCCTTAAGTAGCAGAGGGTTGGGAACTGCGTAGCTCCCCTGTGTTCTGCTGCTGCCAAGGTGCCTCAGGGGGTGTGACTGGCAAGAAGCACTGCACAGTGAAGTAATCAACAGTGGCAATAACAAGCAATTATAGTGATTGTTGTTATCATCTTCACTCGCTGCTCTTATTCTAATGAGGGCCACAAGGAGCATGAATTAATAGCCATAAGGCAGTTAAAATACATGTGAGACTTAGATGCTAATTTTAATAATGATAATGCTAGTAATGAACAGTTAATAAGTCTAATATGAATGATAACAACAACACCCATCCCTGCATGAGTCCCTGCGGAAGCTGAAGCAACCAGTCTGGCCTCTAGTAGGACAAAGAGGTGAACAGGACCCATGTCCTAGGGGAGACGTGGGGTGGCACTGGCTTAGGTTGCTCCAGTGGGGGTCAACCTTTTTGACAGGTGTGCTACAAGTTACCCTGACACCCTCCCCAAGTACCACTCTGCTTCCCTCCATCTTCCTGATCTGCTTTCTGCTTCCCACCTTGTGCTCCCTGCCTGAACTGCTGCTCTGTTTTCTGCAGTCTGTTGTTGCGCTGCCTGCCTTTTCCCTGATCTGCTGTGTACCATGTACAGAGGCTACCTGTGCCACTTGCAGTACACGTGCTGCAAGTTGGCCACCCCGGCCATCTACCCTCGTCTCAAGCAAGGGTCTAATTCAGCATCTCCTGGACTTTATCTCCCATCCTTGCTGTGGCAGTAGGGACCCACAGGCTGCTGTACTGAGTACCAAAAGAGGTGAGAGAGCAGCACATGGTTCTAATGACTAGTGTGGGCAATACAGCCCCACAGTTCAGGGCATCCATTGATTGCAAGCCAGCTCCTCTTCTCTCACAACATACGAACTAATTGGCTTAGTAGCACTGTGAATTTGCCCTGTGTGCTGAAGAGTTGGGGGCAGGGATGGACCATCAGCCTTCAGAGACTACAGATCTTGGATGCAAAGTCCGTGTGTGGAGCCCTCAGAAATGCCAACTCAAGTGAACCTGGAGTCTCGGTGATTCCACGACTTCCACCCAAACCTGCAAACTCTCCAGGAACGTGGAGGAGACTGGTAGCATGACTTGGCTCCTGAATGGGCTTGGAGAAGAAAACAAAGCAG